TCAGCATCTCCACCAGCAGCATCAGCACTGTATCTACCTGTCCTGGGAGTAGTAACAACAGATTTTGTATCTCACCAGACTCCTGCTGCAGTATCCAGGACTAGACACACAGAAACAAGAGATATGAGAGAAATTGATGCCATGAAGCTTTCAATAAAAAATCATAGATGAAACTGCTTCTGGTGGATAAAGTGTTTACACTTGACAACCGTTTTTTCATTTTTAAGATCAGAAGTGAAGAAGCTCTTGGTTAAATTCTTGATGAGGGTGCACTGTCTTTGGAAGAAGATAAACTTTTGTTAGAAGGTGGCACCCTGGTATGCAATTTTCAAAAAATTCTCTCGTGTTCTCATTTGGAATGCTCTTGGCAAGGAGACCTTAGGATAAATTGATAAAACAAACGGGAGAGGAGGATCGACCCATACAATATAATTCCGAAGCGACTGTTGGCAGCAACCAGGGACACATTACCCAGCTGTTGGTGTGATGTACGTCCATGATTTAGGCCACAATAAATAGAATATATTGATTTGAAGAGAGGTCAAATATGATGTGCCCTCGTGTTTCTAGAAAGTAAAAAATAGAAGATTCTTGAATCACTCATAAATTTGGTTTCACTCAATGACAATGAGAAACTGATCAGTTATTCCTTTAGTGCCCCCACCTGCATTTCTTGAGAAGGGTAGTTCCAATATTGATTGTATCAATAGGCTTTTCTCTTTAAATGTGTTAGTCTTTGTATATACTATCCCCGTACATGAACTTTCTTTTACCCTTCTAAATGAAGTATTATTCATCAAGAATATATTAACCAGTTTCCTACTCAAAGGAAAATGCATGCCTTTTTTTATTAGGATAACTAGCGGTTTGCACACTCTAGAAAAAGTAATAGTATAATAATGAGAACGAGAAATGCACACATGGTACATGTTGCTCCTCTTAATATAATATTTACAAAAACACCAACAATAGGGATATTTTGGAAAAGCCAAAAATATGAGACATTTTGTGTCAAAACCATCTCAAGGCTTCACATATATAGTAGTATGGAATAATATTATTATATGAGGCACCAAGGGGGGTTCACAACCCTTTACAAAGGAGTCTTACCGGCCTGGGTTTGAAAACAAAGATTGACTGAAAAATCAAAAGGGGGATGATTTATAAATAAGGTTTCACTTGTTTGACAAGTCAATACAAGCAATATTTCAATTATCCATCAAACAATATTGTGGTGGCAGGTATTGTGTACCCAGTAACGTCAAAGGTAAATGTTCTAGCATCCGACCTAAATGGTTTCATGAATAGATTATTTGTTTAGATTATCTCAAAGCTTATACGGGGTGGCATTCCTTCGGTATCTTTTCTTCTAATAAAATCTTATCAAAGGGAAAAAAAGGGTGGTAAATGCCTAAACATAAAATTACTAAGCCTAATATCATCCTTCAATATGCTTTTGAATTGCAAGACAACTTTCTCAGGATATATAAGTTGTCTCATAATAATCAACAGCCCACCTACGACCCGAATGGCCAATCTATCACTACAAGAATTTACACATTTGCCGACCACTTTTGCCAATCAAAAAATTTTTAGTCGCAAAAAAATGACATTTGGCGACCAAATATTAATTAGTCGCGAATGATCAATATTTTTGGCGACCAAATATGAGTTGGTCGCAGAAGGTCACATTTTGGGGACTAAAAATGAGTTAGTCACAGAAATTGGTATGCTTTTCGCGACCAACTACAAATTTGGTCGCGGAAGGTTACAATTTGGCGACCAAAAAAAATTAGTCGCCAAATTAGTACTTTTAGCGACTAATATTTTAGTCGCCGTTGATTGAGATTTGGCGACTAAAAAAGTTTGTTGGCGAAGGTACCTTTTTTGTGACTAATATGGTGTTTTGGTCGTCAAAAGTTTGGGAGGGAAATTTGAAACATGGAGGGGGGAAATGAAATTTTTTGGCGACAAAAAAAATTTGGTCGCCAATCAAAAAACGACGTCGTTTTGTACCTGGAAAACAGAAAAAAAATTAAAAAAAAGGCCCTGATCTCCTCTGTCTCCAACTCTCCCTCTCTCTGTGTTCTCTCTCTCAATCGGCTTGCAACTGCTCAAGAATTGCAGCCAATTCCAGTCCAGAATCCAACATTTCTTCCTCAATCTTCTCTCTCTTCTCCTGATCCTCGGCCCTGGCTAGACGAGTACACCACACAATCTTCAACCGGTTCTGCAACAAACACTTAACAAGGCTGAAATTATCGAATTGGAGATGACCCAAAAGTTTGGTCTCAACTTTAAGATCATCATCATCTTCAGCAATAATTGCAAGAACCTCTTCTGCAAGCTTCTTGCCTGGTGAGGATCAATCCGTTGCTTGTAGACCTAAGAAATCTTCCTCTGAAGCCAATATGCATCAATATCTCTAACATCAACGCCCTCATTATCTCTCTCCTCCATGTCAATCTCATCACCACAATTCAATTTCAACCCATTATCATCATCATCATCATCTTCTCCCTCCTTCTCATCATACCCCTTAACCACATCAAAACCATTCTCTTCCTCCTGTTCTTCTTCCTCGTCAAACACAACAGTAAAACCCACATTATCATCAATCATAACATTGTCTTCTTCTTCTTGGAAATCAGTGATTAGGTTCCCAATACAAACCATCTGATCGAAAACATGATTCGACATAGGGTTCAACAATTTCTCAATCTCCTCACTCTTGTTGAGGTTATTGTTCTTCAAAACACCCAAAACCTCATCAGCGGTGGCGGCGACTGTTCCGGGAGGCTGACCACCGCTCAATTGCTGCTGTACGAGGCTAAGCATGGCCTCATAGGGAACCCTAGTTTTCTTCGTCTTGGGCTCGTAAAAAAAGGCCCAAATTTGATTCTGCTGATTATGGCTCTGCAATAATATTGTTCCTGTACTGTCAGGTAGATAAGCTAAAGAAGAAGCTTAGACATGAAGAGAATGTTCACAGAGCATTGGAGAGGGCTTTCACCAGACCCTGGGAGCCCTACCTTGTCTTCCTCCTGATCTGCCTCCATCTGTTAGTAATTCACTCTCTGTGTAAACATTTTTTATATTTAATTTCATTTTTATATTTGTAATTGTGAATAGTATTTGCAATTTGGATAAGGGAACCACAAACAATTTTAGTAATAATGAGAATAATGGGCATACAACTTTGAATGGAAAGATTGACATTGATGCAATTTCCCCAATTTCACCTAATATTTTTTTATCTAACAGTCAATGAATTTTGACCACAAAATGTATTTTGGGTGAGAATTGTGATTATAATTCTGAATTTTGATATTTTTAGACACTGCAGCTTCTTGCTGAAGTGGCTGTTTTGGAAGAGGAGGTTGTTAGGCTTGAAGAACAGGTTGTGCATTTCAGACAAGGCCTTTATCAGGAAGCTGTTTACATTTCTTCCTCAAATAGGAATTTGGAAAGTTCAGTTGATTTATATGATCCATACCCAATTAAGAATTCTAAACTAAAGCAATCCAAGTTTTCAGTTCAAACTGAAGGCAGTTCAGCAACATCCACATTGGGGCATTTACCTTCTCTTCCCGGTATTACTTTTAAATATACAATGTTTTGAATGGCCCTTAACTGAAGAAAAAACATCAGAAAAAAAATTGATTATGCTCTATTTTGATTTTCAGATGATGGGCGGGGGAAAGAGAACAGAACCAGACGTGTTCTAATTCTTCAAAGAACAAATGGTCATTGAATTTGAAAATACAAACAATCAAGACTCCAGTAAAGAGACCTCCCATTGAGGATAGACCACCTGAAAGGTGCTTAGATCCTCAAAAGTTAGAGGTATAAGCTCAAATAACACCAAATTTCATTTCGTTAAGATTCAAGTCTCTAGATTGCTGTGGAATGAACATGGGCTTTTTGTATGTCCAGCTAGAATGCAGAGTTACAGACCATGAAAGTGCAGAAGTGACAACTCCTATTATTTGAGATTATCTGGAGATGATAGTCCAAACAAAATCTTTGAGAATATTTTGAAGTGCTTATCGAATATTGTCTTAAGAATGAGTTCGTCAAGTCTCCTAATGTTTGCAGACTTGTGGCATGTTTATGTATTGCAGACTTCAATGGGTAATCTCTTTAATCTTTATTGGTTGGATCTGACTGGCAATAACCTTTCTGGAACCATCCCTGTCTCTAATGGGAGCACACCTGGTCTGGATAAGCTGGTTAAAGCAAAGCACTTGTATGTCTGATCAAACACAAAATGGAATTGTCTATAAACAGGATGGACTAAGCAATGGGATTGCACAATCTATGCAACCTGAAATCATTCACATTTCACACTAAGATAGAATCAAAACAATCTGGTATTCAGGGCAATGAAAAGGTAATGATACCTTTTGTTCTGTTTTGTTCTGACAATTATATATCATAGTTTGAGTGAGATATAGTTAATGAATATGTATCACCTAGTTTGTGTTATACATGTGTGAGTTCCTTTGAACCAGCTATTTATTCACGAGTCTCTGGTATGCACTTGAATGACAGAACAACATAAAAAAATCCACTTCTCAAACACCCACTATATTTCATTTCAAATGAATAAAAATAACATTAAAGTACACAATGTGGGTATACTTTACTATTGCCTTGGTAACTTTGAATCATTTCTTTGCAATGGTGCACCAAGAGAATTTCTTTTAATATAATCAAACAAGTCATGACACTAGGTAAAAATTCAATCTAAAACTGAGACTTGCCTCTCTGGATTCTGAAAGTTTTTAGCAAGGTGAATCCCAGTAAAACTAATATGTTTTTCACACCAAGATTTTGATTGCATCATAGTAGTTGGTTGTTGCTCAATTTAAAATGACATTTGCCTTGTATGGTCTTCTTATCAACAAGAAATTCCAAGAACTTATGAACTGGGTAATGCCATTGCCAACCATAGGAGTCATTACATATTACAACAATACGAAAAACTATTGACTTCACAACAACGATGAAATACAACTAAAAACTATTGACTTCACAACAACGATGAAATACAACAGCATAGTAGCTGCATTTCTAACACCATGGACTTTAGTGATCGGTGTGAAGTAAATTTAAATATACAAAATTGAATAACAGAATATGTTTTCAACCTATAAATTGTTTGCTAGAGTTGATAAACTACATGCAATGCCTTCATGCATTTTGAATGCTGACAGCTCCATTGACCCGAAATGGGCCCCATCATACACCTAATATATATTCTTGGTATTTTTCTATAATTTAAATCTATATATGTGGACTTACTCAACAGAACCAGCTTTTCAATTCAAATATGTCATCTTGTGAATTAATTTGAGCAGGGTTTTTAATAACAATGAACTCAGTGGCAAGATTCCTTCAACGCTAGGACTACTGCAGACTTTGGAGATATTGTGAGTATCTCTATCACATACCCAATTAAAATCATAATAAGATGCTAGCTGTGAATACCCATTAAATTTTTTGAATTGAGTATACAGTGTTGGCAATGGATTTTCCTGGATATGGACTCATTGGTGGACCTATCCCATTGAACTTCAACACCTTGTACATTTAATGAGTTGTAGGCAGACAAAAAGAAAAACTTTTTCATTTTAAGATTAGTTTAAAAAAATGCTTCTATACTAGTTTCCAGGAACTCATTGGTGGACCTATCCTATTGAACTTCAGCGCCTTGTACATTTAATGAGATGTAGGCAGAGGAAAAGAAAAACTTTTCCATTTTAAGCTTAGTAAAAAAAAAAAAAACAAGCTTCTATACTCGTTTCCAAGAAGTTAGCTTATCCTGCATTAGGTTTTCAGCTTTACAGCCTTTACAAGAACCTGATATGGTCATTTGATGATCATGACTGATCAAATTTTTTTGTTTTTCGTTCAGGTACATGCCTGTCATACCATTGGTTCTTGTCAAACAAACGTGAAGGAATTGGGACAGGATGAAGCTCCTACATTCCAAATTATAATCCAAGCTTCAAATCTTTTTGCCTGTTTTGTTCCACAGGTCATTTCCTCTTCTAGTAATATTTGTTAGGATTTATTAGAACCAACCCCATGTTATAGTTTTAACTACTCATTTGTTTTAGTGGCACAGGTGGTGTAACTTACTGTGCCGTTGCGTCTCTCCGGTTGATGGGATTCATTGAAGATGATGTATTGTCTAAAGGCGCATCCTCTTCCATCATAAATGTGCCATTGCTTCTAGATTGGAGCCTACAGGTTTATTTTCTCATTTAATACGTAAAGGGTATTTACTATGCACTGAAACCCTGTGCTTCTGACACATGAACTGAGATAAAGCTGTTCAGAGCCAAAGGAACTTCCAAATGATTCAATGCTCATGAATGAATCAAATGACACTCCATGATCTTGCATTTTATCAAACAATTTGCATGTTTGACGTTTTTTTAGTATATCCTTGATGAATTCTCAGCTCTGAGAGTACTTTCACTCTCATCCTTTTCTTCATGCAGAGGCTGGTAGCTAATGGTGGATTTCAAGGTCGACCTAACAAGCCTAGTGACACCTGTTATGCCTTTTGGTAAATTCCAAAATACGTTCTTAAAGCCCCATGGTCTAAGTTGCAGTTCTTGTGGCATAACACAACAATGTTCTTCTATAGGGTTGGAGGAGTTCTGAGGATCTTAGGGGGCCACAAATTCATCGACGAGAAAGCATTACGCCAATTTTTGTTGACTTGCCAGTCCCAGGTACTATTGTTTCTCCTTCTGCTTCCTTAGATCTATTATTCATTACGTAAAGTGATAAAGTGCTTAACAATGATTAGAAGGGTTCCATCATATGAGCCATGACATACTTGAAAAAATTATATGAAATATGCATAATTATATAGGCATTATACTCCATATAGATCCTCATTGTCTTTGTTTTTCTTTTGGAAACTTATTTATTGCAATGTTGTTGATGTAATTTTACTCGCATACATGAAGCATATCTATTAGATCTTCCTGAGGTAATTTACGAAGTTCTGATTTTCATCTTCTTGTAATCGTTCCTGCACCAGTATGGTGGTTTCAATAAATTCCTGGGCCAGCTTCCTGATCTTTATCACTCCTACTACGGATTTTCTGCATTCAGTATGTTAGAAGAACCTGGTGTCAACCCAAATTGTGTTGAACTAGGAATAACAGATGTTGCTGCCATTGAGCTCTGATTCTACTGTTGTTTCGACAATCGTGCTTTTCAAAGAATCATAGGGGGTTATCCATTTCATCTCTAGATTTTCTTTACTTGGCGCATTATCACCAATACAATGAATTGATGTAACTTACAACTATTATCTAGTGTTGTAACATTAGGGTAAGGACAGAATGTCTATTGTCACCATATTCATTTAAAGCTTGTGCGCTTTATTTGGGAATATCCATCCGTCACTTTACGTCTGATGTTTTCAATAAACTTGTAGGAAGAGTGACTTGCGATGGACTGCCTTAATACGATTTTTTTTAGGGTAAATTACAGTAAGCCCCTTAAATTAAAGTAAAGTTATGCTTAAAAATTGTTAATTGTTAATTGTTTAAAATTGTTAATTTTTTATTAACTTTATTAATTGAGTACAATGCAGGGCTACTTCAACTGCTTCTTCTACACTTATTTAATATGGTTGATGAAAGAATGTTATTTAATATGGATTAGTGTTATTTTATTAATTGAGTACAATGCAGGGTTACAATGCAGGGCATACATTATTTATAATATGAGAAGCCCTAATCCAACAAGAAAACAACTAATTAAACTAATTCCTTGCTAGACACAAAAGTAACAAAAAGAATAAAAAAAATTACAAAAATTTGAAAAATTTGGGTTAAGTCCAAATTTGGATACTAGAAAATATTAGAAATATGTCAAAACGGATATCCCCAAATAAAGTTATTACTAGAACATAACTTTCCAAAATTGGCAAAATCACCAATTTGAGGGTCTAAAGGAAAGAATTAGGTCAAAATCCACCGTGCATCATTATATAATCACTATGCTAGTAAATGATGAATTTCAATGTTACTATGATTGATTGTTAGACAAGTTTCCATCCTTATTGGGCTTAAAATTGCATGGGAACTAGTTATATTCCATTCACATGGTTTCTCTAATTGAATACAAATACAACTTCCTTATCTCTGAATTCTCATTAACAGACACTGGTGGGGAAAAGCCGTCTTTGGATTGGAATAAACGCATGCATATTGCCCTTGGTGCTGCCCGCGGACTTTTATACTTACACGAGCAGTGCAATCCAAGAATCATTCACAGGGATGTCAAAGCCGCAAACATTTTGCTTGATGAAAGATTTGAAGCGGTTGTTGGGGATTTTGGTCTTGCTAAGCTGTTAGATCTTAGGGATTCACATGTCACTACTGCTGTGAGGGGCACTGTAGGACACATCGCCCCCGAGTATCTTTCAACTAGGCGGTCTTCTGAGAAAACCGATGTTTTTGGATTTGACATACTGCTTTTGGAACTTGTAACAGGGCATAAGGCATTAGATGCTGGAAATGGCCAGATTCAGAAGGGAATGATCCTTGATTGGGTAAGTACTATTTTATGATATCTGTATTTTGGTACTATTTTCTTCTTTTTTATTTTTTTGGGTGCAAAGTTTCCATTTTCATGTTTTTAGTAAGAAAAGAATTGATAGAAGTCCTCTTTGAATTTATAGATCACCAGTGTAAACAACAGAGTAGAAGTGGTTTTGTTTGTCAATCAAACAACTGCTGTGAATGTTCCCATTTGAGAATGCTTGCACTGAGAATAACCAAAATTGTTGATTAGCTTTTTTTGTTATTAATTTTCCTTTTATTTATGATGAGGAACCTCTCCAAGGTAGAACCCTTTTTCTTCTCATTTTTGTTTTTCTACCTTTTTTATTTGAAAGAAAAAATGGTGGCCAGTGAAAATGAAAGAAAAGAAATGGAAATGAAAATATATTTCCTTGCAAGCATTTAATTAGGATGAAAATTTTGCAAAAAAATATAGAGAAATTTGAAATCTTAATTGTAGGTAACACTTTGCATGGACAAGTTTAAATTTTTCTTATGTTTTCCAATAGTTTTTGCAAGAGATTAAAATTTTAATTACAAATTTACAATGCTAATACAAGTTGTATGAGAAAATTAGTTTTATTGTCATTTTCATTACTTTCATGCCAAAACAACTCATTTTCTTCCCCCTCTTCCCAACTCTATCAAACTTTCATCCTAAGCAAACTCAGCCTATGGATTTCTATTCTAATAGCATTTTTCCAGGGAAAGTCCCTCCAAAACAACTCTGCACAAGTTGATGTGTCTATGTCTATCTGAGTTGTTCTTTTTGCCATGCTTGCCCTGGAAAATGAAATGCAGTTCTGTTTAGGGCAGCGACTTCACCCAGGCCTGGACAAGTAAAGTTGTGAAAACCTAACGTCCAGCGTGAAATTAAACTGTTCTAAACATGTGTTGTTTGTTCATCTGCTACCACTGGTCACTAAATTGCAAAAACTTTAGCTTATATTTTCTTTGCCCTGGTTGACTACATAATGAAGACCACCCTACTTCCCAAAGTTGTATTTTCTTTTTTCCATTGTGTCCATTAATCATGGATCGTAATTATTAGTTGGATTTTGCAGGTTAGAACCTTGTACGCAGAAAAAAGACTAGAAGTGCTAGTGGATAGGGACCTCAAGGGATGTGTTAGTGCAGAAGAGTTAGAAAAAGCAGTTGAAGTAGCCCTGCATTGTACTCAATCGAACCCCAACCTCCGGCCAAAGATGTCAGAAGTCTTAAAGATCCTTGAAAGTATTGCCGGGCAGCCAGGTCATGTGGAGGAATCACAGGGTGGAAACAACACGTGCGAAGGGCAGATTTGTAATTTCACTGGGAACTACAGTGTCCACGATGATTCCTCATTTGTTATAGAACCCATTGAGCTTTCTGGACCGAGGTGACACAAATGTATCATTTACCTTATCTACGTACATCTCTCTCTTCTGGCCCCAATTTAGCAGAAGTTTCATGTAGTGAGTCCCATTGTACAATATAGAGCAAGACCATTGAATAAATTGGATGGATTATTATAAATTACAGGTTTATTTTGTTGGATGTTGCGACCAAATTTTGGTTTTGTTTTTCTAGTTTTGGAGACCAATTGATTAGTCGGGAAAGATAAGTTATACTTTTGCCGACTAAATAAAGTAGTCGGTGTATCACCAAGCACATTTGGCGACTAAATAATTAGTCGTTAAAATTATTAATTTTGGCAACCAAATGATTTGGTTGCGAATAGGTCTATTGCAGACTAAAATTTTAGTTGCGCAAACATTTCTTTTGGTGACAAACATGTTTGGTCGCGGAATGTGACAATTGGCGACCAAACAATTTGGTTGCGGAATGTGACAATTGGCGACCAAAATTTTTGGTCGTAGAATGTCACAATTGGCGACCAAACTTTTTGGTCGTTGAATGTAATAATTGGCGACCAACTTTTTGGTCGCGAAATGTGACAATTGGCGACTAAGATATTTGGTCGGGAAAATATCACTTTTCGCGACCAAAGTGTTTTAGCGACAAAATGGATTAGTCGCAGGATGTCTCTATTTAGCGACCAAAAATTTAGTCGGCAAATCTAACTTTTCCCGACCAACCAAAATTTTGGTCGCGAATTACTTTTGCCGACCCTCAATTGGCGACCAAAGTAGCGACCAAAAAAATTGGTCGCGGATAACTTTTGCCGACCAAAAATGAGCTTTTAGCAACCAATTTTTTGGTCAGCAAAAGTGTTAATTCTTGTAGTGTATATCTCAACCAGAAAATTCAAGCGAACATCCATAATTGAAAATTCCAATAGTTCAGCAACAAATCCAGTATATAATGATTTCTCCACACAATCATATGTAGAGGAGGTCAACTGAATCTATAAGCCAAATATTCTAGCCAACCTTCTGATCAGTTATCATATCATTGAGTGGCAAATAAAATGTATAAAGCATGAGAGTTGCACTTGATTATGTGACAGATTTTCTCTAAATAATGTGTATATAGTAACCATTTTATTGCCATTTGCTACATTCTCGTCAGAAACCAATCAGCCTCACCCATCAAAGCATATAAGAGTTCACTTGCAGAACCTTATTTTTGTTAGATAATACCCACAACAAAAGCTCAATCTCAGTGCAAGTATACGAGCAAATATAAGGAACAAATGAACGTTGTGCATCGAGTAGCTTTTTGGTGTTCTTGCTTACCACAATTAGGTAGGCACTCCATCTTTGATTTTCGAAGGTAAACCCTTGTGTACTTAAATAAAGATCCTTGTGATTTAAAAACTGTCATATAAAAGTGTAGCTTTTTTACACCAATGATGTCAACATATTTGCAAGGTTTCAAGGAACATACCTACAACACTTGATGAGTCCTCCACCATGCATCCACCACCAAGTGCACCTCCAGAAACATGGAGCCCCACATTAACAAAAACCTACAAGAGTGGAGCACATGTGAAAGATTGGTTTTCCAGTCACATGAAAGAAGTCAACAGTGTTTTTTTTTTTTTTTTTAACATCAAAGAAAAACTCACTGCAGCATGTTGATATCTAGGAGATGGTGAGACACCAGGAACAATTTCCCATTCCCACCGACCATCTCTATGTTTCGCAAGTCCATATGCACTTGCCAGTGCCTGGAAAAATATTCAAAGAGGATGTAAAAGGTTAAGCATTAACAAAAATGGAAGTGATTTACCTTGATATCATTAGAGAGAATAAATCATATAGATAAAATTGAAAGATAATGTTCATAGAAGATTATAACAGTGTGTTCAAAGCAAACATACTGCCATAAAAGTCCACCAAAAAACACACACACATGCACAACTACACATATATGCATGTATTAGACATCATCTTTCAAAAAGTCAAGTCAACATGTAAAAAAATGGACAAAATATAACTCCCAAAAGAAAAAACAAATTGAAAAACAGAATAAAAACCCCAACAGGTACAAGCCCAAGAACCCAAATAGAGGAAGTGATGACTGATAGGTGATGACCTTACACACTCAAGATATGGAACCCTCTCTTGGCTAAAAAGTCCCACACAGCATCACCCAATCTGTTGGTGGCATGGAGTCTAATGGGCTAAACACACTCCAATTCAATTTCAGCAACTGTTTCATGTTAACCTTAACCAAATCTTACCTGATCTCGACATGGAAATAATGTGTTAGACCCATTCAATTCAATATCAACTATAACATTTTTCATATTTACATTAAGCAAATTTTAACTAATCTTAACCATGAAGTTAATGTTAAGTTTCACAAATGGTAGAACGTGGGAGTAACTTAGACAACAGTCTCTTCCCAAAGCCGCCCCAAGGATAAACTATCTCACATGCATTCAACTTGACAATCCATCCCAATTAGTAGGACATGCATATTAAACCAGAACTGTACCAATTTTTTTTCTTATATATAGCTGCATGGCCCAAAATGAAAGCTCCTGAAAGTCAAATAACTGAGACACCATCAAGTAGACATAGAACAATGCCAAATTAACCATTCATAGACAAACTAAAATGAAAATTGTGAACACTCCAGGTTCTGCTCCTTGAAAGGAATCAAAATACAAGAGAATACAGATCTTTCAACGAGTGCTACTGTCGGCTCCCTGCAGTAAAAAAGAAAGCCAACAACCAACTTAAGCGGAGAAAACATATAAAGGCAAAAAGTTCATCAATGCCCTGGAAAAAGTAAACCGTTTCAAAATGGCAATAAGCTAGCCTAAGTACATGGCTTATAATATCTCAATACTTTGAATCCATCGAGCATGCAAAGAATACATTAACTTACCACACTATTAGCATACCTCTCTCCACAGAGCAGAAGAAGACCATCAGAGCGTGCACTTGCTATTGCATACCTACTCAAAGTGAGAGAAGTAAATGATAGATCAACTAGAGAAGTCCTCAGTAAAGTATACCATCAATGGAAACAAAATAGAGAACATTAAACAAAATATTCTAACAACCTTCAACACCAAATTAAAAATGAGGTGGTACTTTCACGTGAACAGTGGTACTTTGTAGTGTGCTTAGATTTATTCTCCGTCATCATCAAGAGTGTGTGTCTGTGAGAGAGAGAGAGAGAGAGAGAGAGAGAGAGAGAGAGAGAGAGAGAGGCCTTTTTTGTGTGAGTAGTTATTTTTGTAAATATTAATTAATATGAAATAGTAATAGAGAATATACAGACCTTCTTGTTGAAGTTAGGAAGCTCATCCCGCAGCCATTTGCCCCTATGGAACAACCTGAGTCTTCCGGAGGTTATAGACAGGAGGGAGTTGAGAGTGGAAGGGTTTGCGAAGGCCGTCACTCGCTGCTGCTCGTCGTTGTTCACCCTCATTCACCCTCATCGTCGTTCACCCTCGCTGCTAGCCGTCACTCGTTGCTCGTCGTCGTTCACCCTCGTCCACCCTCGTCGTCGTTCACCGTCACTAGCAATGCTGAATACTGGAAC